CTGGATGTGGCCTTGCTGAGTCATCTGTAGCAAGGTGCTCGGCTGTCTGGGAGGTGGTCTGAGTTGGTTCTGTGCTCGGTGGTGGCTGCTGGTTTCCTGGTGCTTGGGGCGGTTCCAGAGTGCACCTGATCCTTGGAGGTCTCACACTTCACATCCCAGCACACGCACAAACACATGCTTGTTGATGTTTGTTGTTCATGGTTTACATGTTTATCGTTCTTCATCCCACATTTTCTTGATGATTCTTAGAAATGTTTTTTTACAGGTGCAGCAGCTGGTTGCTGTTTTTTATGTTTGTTTCCTAGTTGTTTTTATATTTCTCTCTTCTTTACTTGTTTGTCCTCTATCAACCCTCTTTATTCCAGATTGGTTCAGCATTTACATGCTAAAGTGGCGATACATAACCCAAACCAATATTACAATAACATACATTTTTATTCAAGGAGAACCTCGTACACAAAAGGCTCCTCTTGATAGAGCAAATCTGTTCAGCACATTCTGACAGACAGACCTGTCATGTTGCTGTACAGGACATTTTTAGAGTTTTTCTTTTTAAAGATAAATAGTATTACATTTAAAGAGCAATACTTTCACATTATCATTTTCCCACACTTTCTGTATACCTGTATTTTGTTGTTTTTCAATAAAGAATGACAAATTATTTAAGTTTATGGTAGGGTTTTTTTGCACACAAATATCTATCTGTAAAAAATATCTATAAATATCTACAAAGCTAATATTTACTTGGATGCATAACAAGTATGATTGGGTTTTGCAATATGGCAGCATCTAAGGTTTATTTTAGTAAGATTTTTAAACCAAGTAAAGTTAGTAAAGAACACATTTCTATTGGCTGCTAAGAAACTGACTTAAAATGGGCCTGTTGTGGAAATAACTTGGCATAAATGATTCTTCCCTCCTTTTTTGTCTTAACCAAAGAAATTCCAGTAATTGAGCAAAAACGTTTATTTTTTTTACATCACCTTTTGTCAGTAGATTTAAAATAAAATGTTAAATAATAAAAGGGGCCCAGACAGCTGCAGAGTGAGTGGAACATTGGTTTGTGAAGGAAGAACAGAGTTGTCAACAGTGTTATGGCTATAGATAAATTATATCAACAACACATTAGCTATAACAGTCAGGGATATGTTTATCCTGTTTGCCTGAAAATAAATCTGCCCTAAAGGCAAAATTCAAAAGCAACGAGACTCCCACCTGGAAGTCTTTCACTGCTTTTGGAGCTGGCCATTAAGACAATCGGCAATGTTAGTTAAAAAATATCATTTCCCCTATTTGTGAAATGAACTTTATATGACAAAAAATGTCCCTGGACTGTCATGTCTGATGTGAGGATGCACAACAATTGCACCATTTAAGCCAGAAATAAGTATAGCCATAATACTGTTGACAAACCTCCTGGCCTTCTCAATTTTAGCAGGTTTTACACCTGCCCTCCATCTACACCTTTGGGTGGTGGATGACATGGTGATCATCATATGAGGGTGTAGAAGGTGAAGCCGGTGCAGGTCCTCCTTCATCATGTTGACCAGCTTCACACTGCTGACCACTCCCATGTCATTGCCACCACCGTGGATGAGAAGGACATCAGGTGCTGCTCTTCCTCGCAGGGAGTGGAAAAAGAAGGGGAGAAGGTCTTTCCACCTCAGTCCGTCCCAACCAAACCAGGAGACACGGACGTCAGGGAGGCTAAGGTTGTCTCAGAGGGTCTCTGCAGCTCTCTGGACACCACGCCTCACGTAGCTGTCTCCAATGATCCAAATGGCTATGGAGAAAACAAAACAGGTTTGGCCTAGCTGTTTAAAGTACAAAACCATACATGAATTGGTCAAGACAGGTACTTGGTACTTAAACTTGCTGCTTTGTGTAGCCGACGTTGAAGACACACAGGCTGCCTTGGTGACCTTTTAACAAATCTATGCAAAAAATTTAATAAAAGAATGAAACTTAAAAACTCCCAGATCTTATTTCATGATTGCTAATCAGCTATGGCTGATTTATTGTTTGGATCACAGTGAGTTACACTAATTCTAATATATGTTTATTTCTATTATACATACATACTTTTTAACTGTTATTTTCACATGACTGTTATCGGGCTCTCTTGTTCTGGTTCTCATGATAAGTCAGTTTCTTCCAGTAAGTTATCTTGTGCTTACTTCATCTGCATAATGTCTCTTTACTTTTGGTGAATTGTACTGAGTCCAGAATAAAGGCTACTTGGCTTTACAAGAAACAAACAAGTATTACGTTTTGGAAATATATGAAATGTATTTAGCCTACTAATTTATCTCAAATACTAATAACTACCGTATTTTCTGGACTATAAGTTGCACTTTTTTTCATAGTCTGGCCGGTCCTGCGACTTATACTCCGGAGTGACTTATATACCAAATTATGTAGGCTATACCGCGCTACTGCGGGCCAGGTCCGGACCAGGAATGAGCTCCCCTGCCCCGCTGGGAATAAAAAACACACAGCCATCACCTGCTGGAGCCTGTGGCGCACCGTTACGCACCTGATCCGGCCCAGGAGTGAGATCCCCTGACCCGCAGGGAACTAAAAACACACAGCCATCACCTGCTGCAGACTGTGGCACACTGCTGCGGGCTGGATCCGACCCAGGTTTCAGCTCACCTGCCCCGCTGGGAATTAAAAACACACAGCCATCACCTGCCAGAGCCTGTTGCGCACTGTTGCGCACTGGATCCGGCCCAGGTTTCAGCTCCTCTGCCCCACTATCACCTGCTGCAGCCTGTGGCACGCTGCTGCGGGCCGACTCCGACCCAGGAATTAGCTCCCCTGTCCAGCTGGGAGGGTTTCAAACACTGCCATCCTCTGCTGGAGACTGTGGCGTGCTGCTGAGCCCGCGTTGTTTATTCTGCTATTGTTACCGGTACTTGTCTTGCAATGTGAAACGCTTGGTCTCAGATTTTGTTAGAGAAATAATAAAATCTCCCCCCAAAATGCGACTTACAGTCCAGTGCGACTTATATATGGTTTTTTTTCTTCTTCATTATACATTTTATGGCTGATGCGACTTATACTCCGGAACATATGGTACGTTAAACATATTGAAAACTTGCTCAAAACAAAATATATTTTCATTAAGGAAATAACTTATAAACTTACCGATTTATTACTTTTTTATTCACAGAAAGATAGTTTTCATGAAAAAGCGCTGCAAACCTCCACACAAACTCTTTGTGAGCTTCAGGTCGCTGGTGTTCCACAGAGTTAACTCCGGTTGTACCTAGGTAGCTACCTCCATTAGCTTAGCTCCCATCTCCGTGTTAGCTTTGGGTTAGCTTCAGGTTAGCTTGTAGCTAGTTCAACCAGGTGTTGTCATTTGATCCCAGCCTTACAGTCCCACCCTCAGCTCCACCTCTCTTCCCTTTTGTGGAATTATCTGGGCTTGACGGAACCTGTGACATGGTCAAAATGGCGGTGGTGGCCACCTCCCATTTTTCCTCAAAAACGTGGTATTGGAGCCTGTGCAAACCCATTGTCCATATATATATATATATATATATATATATATATATATATATACATATATATATATAATGTTACGACTGCCAGCCTGGCCAGTGGGATGCATGAGCCAAGATCACCCAGCCCTGGTGATCAGCCTGACACCGCCCCTCTTCCTCTCTTCCAGGCTGCTGAGGTGCACAGCTGAGCTGATTTCTGCTGATGACCCACACCTGGGAAAAAAAGGCTGTGCCTTCAGCAGTCTGGGAGGCAGCAGTGCAGGGGTTCTGCTGTCCTCCAGGCTCCCCTTCTTTTTGATGAGGTTTAACTTTAATAGTTCTAACTCTGAGTGAGCCAAATGGATCTTTTGTTCTTGTCAACTTGGTTGACTCTGTTTTAAGGTTAACCTCGTAGTTTACTGACTTTGGGATAGTAAAACACTCGGTGTTTTCGTAGTGCGTCGGTTTTATTATCAACTTGTGTTTTTAAAGCTCCTTCTGTTTCGGTAAAACTTTTAAAGTTTTAACCAGGTGTTTTAATGTTGATAATTCACCCTTTATATGTTAGCCTTTTAGTCTTCATTTTGTTTGTTTGGCATTATTTTAATAATGCTTTCCATCTGTTTGCACTTGTTTTTACAAACTTTTATAACAATTAAATGCATTTTAACTCCACTGTCACATTTCTTATGTTGCCCCCTCCTTCACATTTTAACACCTCCTGTCAGGGACGTAACTACATATATGTGTGTGTGTGTGTGTGTGTGTGTGTGTGTGTGTGTGTGTGTGTGTGTCACTCAGCTCCTCCGACTCTGTGCTGCTCTCAATCATTCCCTCAGCAGAGGGGTCAGTCCCTGATTCCTCCCTGCCCAATATCTGACTCAGTGGGGCTCTAGACTCATCTTGATCACCGGCCTGATCTCTCCACACCGGAGTGTGAATTTTCTGATTTTGCCCTTGGTTATTGTACATATTCAGCAGTGTCAAAGCAGTAGCCCACATGCGTTTGGGAATATATTTCCTCCACAGCTGAGACTGAGTATTTTTGACTGAGTCCCTCGTCCCCTGGTATTTCTTCCTTTTGTTCTTTTTCTTTTTTTTTTCTTTTTTTTTCAAAATAGCGACAGAATCCAAGATAACAGAAGTTGTATAGCGTACATGAATTCATGTATGAGGACGATGTTAGAGGAGAGAAAAAAAAAACAATGGAAACCAAAATGTCTGTGAAGGTTCTCAGTCAACCAAATGTGTTCCTTCAACTTGTGCTGGTACGTTGGTTCAGATTTACATTTCACTGGATCTCTGGTCCCACATTTTCCTTGGAACTCTGATGTTCTGTGACAATTAACATCGCAACTCTTTTTTTTTTTTTTTTTTTTTTTTTTAAGTTTTGTTGAATGCTCGGGGCTAATTCAAGGGTCAACCAAGACTTGCAAGCTGTCAGTCTTTCATTGTAACTCCAGCACCCCCCCCCCCCCCCCCTCCACTCAAGCTCTTTATTCTCAGTTCCCCCTTCACTTTGGAATGGACCAGCTCTTCTTCTGTTCTCCCGTGGCCATCCAACAGCCAGCTAGGAGCTTTATCTAACATTCTTTTCACATCTGCCTCTTGTTTTCAGACCCCCACCGCATTTAAATTTCAAACTGTCCCACTTCCCTCCCATCTAATAACCCGCTTCCTCCCAGTCACTAAGCCCTTTATTTCTCTTTTCTTAAGAGGGCCCAACTGCTTCTTAATTTTGCATTTTTGACACTCAGTTGTTGACTATAAAGCATTCTGTTGTATAGTGAGTATATGGCATGCACATATGTTTAATGCCCTTGGGCCCACGCCCCTGTGGCTTCTCCATTTCTCCGGGTACTTAAACATCTGTCTGCAGTGGCTTCATTTTTAGCTAGCAGTGTGATGTCTGCCAACATTTTAGCAATCTGTGCTTAAAAATCACAGAACATCAGCCTGGTCATGTGCTCAAAGAATTAGATGCTCTCCCATCTCTCAGTCTGCACATAACCAACTCACACGCCATTACAAAGACTCAAACTTGTTCTGTGATTGCACCTAAGTCGAGGGATGTGAGAGAAAACAGTCAAGGTGGGATTGTCGGCAGTTTCTGTTCTAAAGGCAGAGAGACGAGAAAGAAACCCCCAGCTGTGAGGGGAGACCTCTGCTCGTTTAATGAGAACGCCAGTCAGACAGTTTCCCTACAGCCTTCCCCTTTGGTGCCTCAGCGTGTTAAACACTCACAGCATGATGCAAAATATATTAAAGTATAGGACTGTTATCATCGATTTGCGGAACACCCACCCGCCCCGTACTAGGAATCTACATCCTGCATGTTTCTCCTAGCAGGGGGTCCGCACAGCCTTGAAGACAAAACTTTCAAAGGCATCATGTCTTTTGTCTTCACACACTGACACACGAGGCCTGCTGATCGCGCTGCCTCCATTTCACTCCACACAGGGATGAAAAGGAAAAAGAGGAGAGTCATACTGACTCTGGTTTTCTATCAGGTTTTTATTTAAACGTGCACACCTTTCGCTACTAAAGCAAATGTATTATCTGCCTTTTGTACATTTTTGTTTTTGTATTATTAAACAAAACACAGATTTTACTTTGCTTAAGTAGTATCATTGATAATCCATGCAAACAGATTCAGGCCACATAGCAATCACAACAATAACCAAGTCAAAGTTTGCTTCAAGGCGGCGAGAAATGACCTTTCACCAGTCTGTTGAATTGCACTTGGCACACATACATCTGATTGTATCTGTGCTTTAATCTTTGTACGCACAGGGGAGGTCCCAGAGTGGACCAGATGCAAATTGGGACAATGTCTGATTGAAAGGAAGTTATTCCAAAGAACGATTGTGAAAAAGATGTATTTTCACAATGAAAACTTAAAGGATTAAAATCAGATATGATTGATTTAAAAACAAAATTATTATCCTATTATGATATCCTATTATATAATTTTTTATTGATTGCATATTTCAGTTTGAATACATTTGCTGAGTATATCATTTTGTGCAGGGTAGTATGAAATAAATTATTATATATTTGAAAATATCTTCATACAAGCTTAACTAGACTTTGTGTGTTTGTGGAATAAACTTCCTCTATATATTCTCCTTACTCAGAGATGTGAGCTTGAAGTACCACCGAGTAGTTTCCTGCACCTTTGCCCTACTGATTGAAAGAGGAATTACAACTACCATATACAACCCTGCAGCAGCCTGCTGTGGCTAGCGCTACCAATGAGCTAACACTTAACATGAGCCAAGTCTTACTAAATAAGCCACAAATCAAAATATTCTCACTGTTGGACAAACAATATTATTACTTGCAAGTCTAGTAGCAACAAAGCCAGGTCACCATCATTCTGTGATTTTGTAGCATTTTTAAGCTCCCTCATACGAGTGTAGGCTGCGCCGATGGTCACTATGGTTTTAGCTCATTGCTTCACCTCCTTAGATATTAATCTCTAACTTTTACTCTAGGCTCTGCCATGATACCAACAGGAAAAGCCAACTTCTTCTTCTTCTGCTTAGTATTGACAATCGGCAACCTGAAAAATATAACTGCTAGCATAACAGCTAACAGACAAGTCAAGTCACCTTTCAGGTTGCATGGCGGTACAGTTGTTAGCAATGTTGCCTCACAGCAAGAAAGTTGCATGGTTGAAAATCAACGGCGGCCTTTCTGTGTGGAGTTGCGTGTTCTCCCCATGCATGCGTGGGTTTCCTCCAGGTTCTCCGGTTTCCCCCACATATCACAACATGCCCTATAGGTTAAAAGTTGTACGTCGCTTTGGATAAAAGTGTCTGCCAAATAAACATAAACATACACTTTTATTTATAACAAACTTTTACACGCCCGATTGGTAGATCGAAATGCCTCACTGTACAAAAATCCCATACACAACAGTAGTGCTAAAATTAAGTAAACCACAATAGAATAAGATTAAAAAACCCATTACAGCCATAAAGCAAGAAAAGAGCTCCCCTTTTAGAGTACCCACTCCACAAACGTGTTCAGCGTATCTGGCCAGTAGAGGACTTCTACATGGTGTCAAACATGAAACCTGTCAAGTTTCTAACTCAACAATCACTGAGATCAAGGTTAAAGGGATACTGTGCAACTTTTTCATGTTTTTAAATCATTTCCTTGGGCCAGTTTTTACTAAAACGACCCTTTATAGGGTTAATGAAATGTTGCTTATGCCTCCACCGCCCTGCGTAGCCAGAATATTGCACTTGCAACTTCAGAGTGCCTGTCCGGTCTCTATTGGACTTCGTAAAGTGGAGCTGGCATGCTAGAGCTGGAGTCTGCTTCCAACACTTTTCCTGCATGTTTTAGATCCTGCACACAGGTGACTTGTTTGATTTAATGATGAATCACTCCTGAAGACACTAAGGAAGGCCGAGGAGACATTTCAGCTAGTAGATTAAGGTGTAAAAAGACAAATGCACAGGGAGGAGATATGTTTCACTTTTGGTTTGACTAACAGAACACTAGGGGGTGCTGAAAGCAAGCCAGAACTGCCTAATATCCATTTAAAGCTCTAGCTAAAAAAACAATTTAGTGTTACTTTAAGGTAGGGCTGCACGATATTAGGAAAACCTGCGATATTCGATAACAGTGCTTAATATTGCGATATCGATATTACTCACGATAAATGAACAAATACTAAAGTATGCAGTGTTGATGTCGTCAGGCGTGTGACGTCTGCTCTGGGTTCAAAGCAAACAAAAACTAATGCATGAATTCCATTACAACTTAACATTTTTATTGCAAAAATATGCAGCTGCACCTGCTACTGTATTAGCAGCAAAACAACAAACTGCATGCATGCAGTTTCTCAGTGACTTTAAAACATTACCTCCACCATAAAACTTTTTCTGATGCTCCAAATACAGAAAAGCATCCCTTACCAGGTTTTTTGAATAAATAAATAAATAAATAAACAGAAAATAAGTTTAAATGTTAAATAATAGTTAACATCACTTAGGCCCTGTCCACACGTAGCCGGGGATCTGCCAAAACGTAGATATTTTTCTACGTTTTGGCCTGTCATCCACACGAAAACGGAGTTTTTTCACACGAAAACGGATCTTTTTAAAAACTCCGGCCAAAGTGAAGATCTGCGTTTTCTCCGTTTTGGGTGTCTGCGTGTGGACGGACATAACCGGAGTTTTAAGGTCCGCAACGTCACTTTCCGCGACAAAAAGTGCTGACATCACGTGTGCGACCTGTGTTTACACTAGCCGGCATCATGGAAGCCCTCAGAGCTGCGCTCTGTCACTACCCGATCCATCAATTGTCCAAGCGCTTTCTGCTTGTTTGTTTTTGCAAGCGGAATTACTGCTCCTTGCGGAAGACCACAGACGAAGGACGAGGTTAAGAACGGGGAAAGTACTGCCGCCTACAGGTCTGGCATGTCCTTAACAACGTATTTATCCGGATACATGTGGACAGAGTTTGTTTTTAAAACGCGGTGGTGTGGATGCAAGTTTTTGGAGGGGCGGATATTCGTTTTTAAAAAACCCCGGCCACGTGTGGACTAGGCCTTAAATGCAACAGCAAATTCTCTCATTGCTACTGAGCACTTTCTCCACTTATGTGGTTATGATAGAAGGCTGTTGCTGTAATTGGGAAGTGAACTGTGCTGGGCTGTAATTGGGAAGTGAACTGTGCTGGGCCAAACTAGGAGAATATTAAGATTTTTTGAGGGAAAGAGAAAAACAATTGTCTACCTTTCAGAAGAGGAATTGGCAAAAAAAAAAACTACATGGAAAATATGTGAAAATGTTTCTTTTTAACCCCAAATTGAACAAGTTTACCTAGATCTTAATAAGCAGCTCAGATGATGAACTGCAACTATGATTCTGATAACAAGCTAACAAATTGAACTAGCTCCTCTAAGATAACCGGCTAGCAGAGCTTCTGACTGACAGTTTATGTGCAGCAGCAAATCAACTATCCTGATTAACAAGGTTATAAAAGCTCATAAATGAAAAATCACTTTGATGTGTGGGGGAACTTTTCCAGGCCCCTTTTTAGCAGGGTGGGACTGGGAGGAGAGTGCTGTAGCCTTTTAGCTGGAAGCTAACCGGAGTCCTGGACTAACATCACCACCCGGTGGAACACTAGCGACATGAAGGTGGGTTGGTTCACAGGCACGTGTCGGAGTCAGCCCGGTTATTATCAGCTGCTTAACGACACCGAGCGGACTCACGTTCATGTTTGAAAACAGCGCTGATTCCAGAAACCTCAGCACAAAGTGGGTTCTTTAATCTGAGCCAGCATGACGAACAAGGGAGGCGAGCTGCAGCGGAAAGCGGGGGCGGAGCCGAGCGGAGATAGTGGAATTTTGGGGTAACGGTCTACGTAGGGGGCGGGCGTATTACGTGAACGGACTCATCTGATTGGCCGCATATCAGAAGGGCTACATTTGATTGGTCAAATAATACTTCCGCGTAAAAAACAGAGCTGGTTTACAAAAAGTTGATGTATGACACGGATGGAAATGTTTGAACCAAGCATTTATCGCCGTTTTTGACGTGCTTTGCGATGGGCCTATCGCACGTCCTGTTATCGCGATGACGATAATTTTTCGATATATTGTGCAGCCCTACTTTAAGGTCTCACCATAATGCGTGGCTTTTAAATGTTAGCAGTTGCCGGCTTCCAGTAAAATGTAATTGGTGCCACATGATGCACTGCTAAAAAGCAAGTGAGAAAGGGAATTCAGTATGTTTGGTCTCTGTGGTCAACTTTCATTCGTCAAGCTTCATGACTGCACATTATTCCACTGAAACTAAATACACTGTGGCCGTCTGTGTGTGTTCTGCTCCTGTTAACCTCTTTTAATGGCTCTAAAATTAGAGGTCTCAGGTGAGGAGCAATGTCATACCAGATGAGCTGATTATGGCAGGTTTAATTATAACTTTGTCGGCTAATGTGCGCGCACCGCGTGTTTTCTCGGTGATGAATTATTACACTGTCTGAGATCTCAGACAAAATAGATCAAAGATCCTTCAGGCAGTTGTTATCCTCCAGCATAGAGGAGACAGCTGAAGCTGATTTGCTCGGTTCTGACGGCACATAACAACAGAATTCTCCACCGCTGCCTCAGCTGAGTTTTCTTGTTAGCCACTATATGATGGATAACATTCAGTCCCTTGAATCTTAAATAACAATTGCAGGCTCCAGAGTGAACAAAAAAAAAAAAAAAAAAAAAAAAAACGTGTTTTTGAATGTGCTAAAAAAGAAAAAAGAAAACAGTTTCTAATGGGGTCCTGTGTGCCTTGTTGCCTGAGTGATGCCTTATCCCATGGTGAGTGTGCTAATGGTTCATGGGAGTAAGAGGACTGAGCTTAACCCAGCAGTGTAAACACACAGACAAAAGGGAGCTGTTAGCAGTGTGAAACACATGCCTGGGCGTGCAGGTAGGCATTAGGTTTCACCATACACAGCTCCAGCGCGGGATCCATGACGGGGAGGAGGCCATTTGCTTTTGTAGCCAAGGAAAGGAAAACAAACTTTCAGACTTGTACAACAGAGACAGGTACGGATGAGATGGGGAGGGAGGAATTCTGGTTTGAAGAGACGGAAGAGGGAGGGTGGGGGAGAGAGGGAAGATGCTGAAGAGATACAGTGATTTGTGGTCAGTCGGAGAGAGAAGTGACCATTTGTTTGGGGCTGTTTGTTTGTTTGTTTGGCTTGGGCACGGGGGTGGAAAGAGCCACAAAAGCATACTTAGAGTGAAGCACTTTACCTTTGAACCTCTGAGGTACAAGAAGTGAAATTTTAGTAGCTGAATGTGTTTTCGAGGAAAAAAGTTGTTGCACAGTATTTTTGCACCAAGTGTGTTATGCTGCTGGTTCAGTCTGTTAAATAGCGCCAGTATAGGAGTGGCCTTTACTCTGATGAGAGTGCTATAATCCAAAGATATGTAGTTTGTTCAAAAATAGTTTAAAAGTACATAAATAAAGTGTTTTAAATTAGCTGAAGTGGAGAAATGAACTCAAAAAAGTAGAATATTGTGCAAAAGTTGTAAATGTTGTTGTAAATGACAATGACTTCTCAATCAACTCATCTGGTTAAATAAAGGGTAAATAAATAAAATTTTTAAAAAAGTTCCTTTATTTCAGTAAAAACAAAAGAGGCCCAAACCAAGTAACCTGATGTGTTGACTTTGGGGTTTTCATCAGCTGTAAGCCATAATCATCACAATTATAACAAAGAAAGGCTTGAAATATCTGGTTTTGCATGGAATGAGTCCATCTCATACATTAGTTTCACCTTTTAAGTTGGATTATGGATATAAATGAACCTTTGTATCATATTCTAATTTGTCCAGTTTCACTTGTGGTTGAACACAACTAATAGGGTTGGTGTCGCTTTCCTGTGACTCACAAGTGGTTGAACTGGGGAGGAGGTTGTGACACATCTGCTTAAATCCACTGATGGACCCACCCTACTGCCCCCTCCCCTATTAGTGAATTGGTTAGCATTCAGTTGCCATTAAGGGATTTCCCTCCTGAGGATTATTGACCTTCTGGGTTTATTTTAGTGGTGTGCGTGGGTTTCGCAGCATTTCACAGCTTACGGTTTGTCACATCTCAGCAGTGGAATGTATGCATGCAACATTAAGCGCCTTGTGACACGAGTGTTACCGGGTGACTTCCTGCGTGAAATTGCACAGGGGCAGAGCTCACATGTGGAATACATTTTCGTGACTGAAGGCAAGGTTTTTTTATTTTTTTTGTTGGTTTTCTTTACAGGTGAGAAGATCAATGATGAGCCTGTCTGAGAGCAGTTGGCCTGGACTTTTCTAATCAGAACCTGTTTGTCACAACACTAACCTGCCACTCATCATCAGTCCCCCAGCACCATGGCATGCTCCCTGTGGAAACTACAGACATTTTGCTGGTTTCTCATCACTCTAACCTGCGTACACTCCACTGAGGGTAAGTGTCAAGGTGTCACCAGCCTTTTTTTCTTTAAAAACACAATATGTTATGAGAGTATTCTAGACTCAGTCACTTCCAGATCTGAGCTGTTTAGAAATACAGCACATACAGTAAATTGTGACCAAAGCCATCTTGAGCCCTGCTTGTGAGTAGTGCAGTTTTTAGGATGGCAGCCGCAGATAAACGGGGGGATAATCGTGAGCTGTTTCGTTAATTGGTAAATTGTGATTTGTCTGAGATTTTCTGCTTGAAATCGTCAGTTGTTCCCAGTGGCATCAGAGCCGGATCTATTTGTAAGCTCCTTCCTTTATATGTTCCTTGTCATGGAAGATTTCACACCTGAGGAAACATAAGGTTTGGATGTCTTTTAATCTTACTTCATTACGTTTAGATTAAGTCATTACCAGCTTTTATTGTAACCGCGTGTTTTTACGTGACCACAAGACTAGAGATGCATTACACTGTGTTTTACGGCTGAGTCTTAAAGGTGTGTAAAACTGAAAAAAACATTTTTTTAAAAGCCCATTAATTCATCACACACTGGTGAAATTCATCTCTGCATTTGACCCATGTCCGCTGGGCAGAGGTGAGCTGCAGCTGTGGCCCTGCTCGGAAACTATTTACTGGTTTAATGATCATTTCTGATTATAATAGGTCACTCTGAGTTTTTCACGCAGGCTGAACATGAAAATAGTCTCCTGCACCTATCTCCTGCATTAGCTCCTGATAGAAAATAGACGGTGAAACTCTAGGATTAGAACATCCTGACAGATCGACGTCACACTGTCACTTAACATTCATGGACTCACCCATCTTGACTCACGAGGGAGAAGGCTGTTGTTGGTTTAGCGTCCAGGAAACACCAGAGTACATCTCGGCTGGTAGAAGCTAACCGTTAGCATTAGCAACTCCACCACACAGCAGAACTCCTCCAGGCTTGAGTTAATTTTGGAGATAACACATCAGTGCTGCAGAGCAAATGGAGTAAGTGGTAAAGTTGTGTTGCTGCTATCCATTCGGAGGCAAGATGTCCAAATATCAGGAAAAAAGACCCCAAATACCACCGTGTTCAGCTCTCCTCTGATGAGGCATTCTGCTAGTTCCTGAAACAAGCGCATTTGAGCTTTTTTTTCCCCTCAAGTAGAACTTACAAGGCATTCATTCCTACTATAGACCACTGCAGATGTATTGATTAAACGAGTGAGCCACACTTTTAAAAATTTCCAAAGTTTGATATCTTTTTTAATGTAGCACAAGTGCAGTCATAAAATCTTTGTTCAAAGGTGACAGCTGTCAAAACTCTGGCCAAGCTGCTTTATTAGTTCAATAATGTAAGACTTGAGGCAGTGAGGTAGTGATTCATCAATTTGAATTATTCACTGTGGAGCAAATTATGCTGGCACAAGATGTGAAACCATATAATCTGGAATCTATGTGATCCTTCCCATATAAAAATATAACAGTTTAGGATTATACGAATTCCGCTGGCTTCAGTGGATTTATGATGCTACAGTCATAAAACTGCATTAAAAATGGCCATACACAATCAGATGTTTTCCATTAACAGGCCATTCTTGATGAAATACGTTGCCCACCCCAGACAGATGAAATTCTGCAATATAGAGACTTGTGCATCTGTGAATTAGTCTATTTGGAGAGTGTGAAAGATAGTTACCACCTAGAAGGATTTTTCTTTTTTAGGTCATTTTTTATGCGGGTTGCTCGGCAGAACTCTTTGTGTGAGTATCTTGTGGTGCGTCTTTGAAGTTCACCCGTCAAATTTCATTTAAAAGGGATATTTGGTCATTTTTGCATCAAGTTTCTGCAGCCATCACCCTGAAGGGTCTGGAATGAGCAGTGTTTGTCCAAAGGGATTGATTTGATAACTGATAGTTCAACTGTGCACTGCTGACATCTTAAAACCACACCAGGAGCTTAAACCTAATAAGATATAAAAGAGCCTGTTTTGTGTGCAATCACATGGTTCAGATGTGTTGTACTGAAATTAGGAATGCGCCAGTCCGACCGCGTGATCAGAAATCCGGTTTGATCAAGTGATTTTCAAAAACTAGCATAATTGTGTGGAAAATATTGGATTTAACCTTAAAGTGATGATGTATATTTTCCCTGGTGATAGGGGGCAGTACATACCTAAATTATTGCAAGCCATCCATTTTTTTGTATTCGAGTAAGACCTCACCAACGGATGGCCATTAGAGTCAGAAATACCTGGGAGCGCAACCTCCAGCACATCAGACTCCCTTTCATCACTGGCAGCAAGTTAGGAGGTAAATGTACGTTTATGTATAGTGAAAGTTTTATAACCAACTGTTACAAATCAGTAAATGCATTTTGTCCTCACGGGCTCCCATAGAAGGAAACATGGCATTTAATATGGCGTTGCCAGACACCTACACCCATTCCTACGTATTTGTTTTGTTTTTAGATTTTTACGGTTATATGTTACGAAGCTGCCAATATTTCTCAACAGCTGGGCATCAACATCATTTAGTTCATGTTTAACAACATTTCCACTACTTAATTTCCAGAGATTAACTGTAAAAACTACACATCTGTTTAAACAACAAACATGACTTTAGAGATGATGGAGAATAACAACAGCTTAGTTTTAACTTTAACTTGTACCTCTGCATTAGTGCTGATTGTTTCTTGGATGGCAGCCTCATTACATCCCATAATTTACAGCAGGCGGGGAATTCCTGTTAGCTAGCAGGCTAAAATAGAGCTAATGCACTGCCTCAAGAGAGCGAAAATGTCTGCAGTTTGGACGTATTGATAATGATAAATGATAAATGCCCTGCACTTGTAAAACGCCTTTCAGAGTCAGAGGACTCCAAAGCGCTTCACACTACAGAGTATCATTCGTCCATTCACACTCACACTTACACAGTGATGGTGATGAGCTACGATGTAGCCACAGCTGCCCTGGGGCGCACTGACAGAGGCGAGGCTGCCAGGCACAGTCGCCACCGGTATGTTAAACCGGACTGTTAAGGCAGTGCAACAGCAATGAGGCTACTTTTAAAGATTTTCATTGTTGACATGTTTATTATATTGTACTTCCTGAACAAGTCACATTTTTATCACATAAACAAAATAAGTGACAGAAATACAGAAGGACAGAAAGCAAAACATTAATAATAATAATAATAATAATAATAATAATAATAATAATAATAATAAAAATAATACAAACTTATAGGACAACTTAGTTGTGTTCTTTTATTTTACTTTAATGCATTGCTGAATTATCGGCTCGGGATGAAATCAAATGATTCAGACACGAATCAAACCGAGGGCAAAAAATGTGATTGGGACGATCGCAGCTGTGAGTATATAAAATATACCAGGAAAATCCACTTTTTAGAAATAAATTCATTTTTCACTTTTTCCACTTGTTGGGTACTACCATCGCCCATCCCCGACATACCTTTCCCTTTTCCCCTCTCAGTCTCAGAGATCGGCCCGGAAACAGTTCATTACAAACAATATCCCCAAGTAAACATGCTTCATTAAACTGCTTCTACTCCTAATATCTTTTTAATGCATTTTTATAATTGAATTAAATGGGTTAGTGGGATGCTGTAAATAGTCCAAAGTTAGTTCCTGTCCCTTTGTGCATCTTAAGGGAGATATACTATATAGAACATTATCCTAGAGTGAAGACTGCAGCTTTGAGGCGTTGCTTCCCTCCCTGACCTCCTTCTCTGCATGCTACCCACGTTTGACTCCTCTGGTTGGACACGTGTCCATGAGTGTCTCTGTTTTTATTTACTCAGCTGACTCACTGGCTCTCATCTCCCGTTTCCTATTTTTATTCCTGCATCCTAACAGTGGGGAATAAAAAATCTTGTTCACATCGGTAACTCTGCCAGTTACTGGCATTAATTCCTAAAATTGATTTGTTCTTATTTTAATTACGTTGTATTTATAGAGCACACTTATGTCAATATCAAAATGACTCTCCCCCATTATCTTACAGTCAATGGAAATAAATATATAAACAAACAGCCACTCGTGTACTTATCGTCTACTTACAGCAGAGTGATGCTGGCTGTTCTGCTTAGTCACCCTCAGAAGCAAAGTCTGAGTAAAAAAAAACCCTGTTAATTTACAGAAAATGTCTAATGAGGCAAAGCAATGAGGTATGATTAATTTTCACTGAAAACGCAACGATAACTTTAGTTATTCTACTTAATGTTGCTTTTCTTTTCAATAACCGGACAGTTACAAACATTTAGTTAATTATTTTAGGCTAGTTGCTGTTATTGATGCTGGTTATATATGCCGCTATTTTTTATTTTTCATTTATCAGTAATGTATTATAAAACAGGAGCTGGAGGTTATGTGCTCAGCGACAGCCGTTTTTACTGTAGGTGAGACTTCTTTCCTTGGTAACACTTTACAATAAGGGCCCCATTGGTAATGTTACAAATGCATTATTTAGCTATGATAAATTGTTGAATAAAGTATTAACACCTGCTTAACCATTTTATGCAATGCATTACCAAGCAGACATGTACATTTAAAAGGACCCCCCCCCCAAATAAAAAATAAAATTAAAAAAAGGGTGATGATTTATCCTTGCAACACTTGATTAAACTGGCTCACATGTTTTCCAAAGTAATACAGCCACGTCTGGTGGGACTGCATCTATCAGCGGCACGGGCACAATTCACACCCAGCTCAGCCACACCTCTCTTAAAACCCTCTCTCCAAATGAGAAGTGAGGGAGCCCGGTGGGAATATTTTTGTCATAAAGCGTGTGTTTGGTTTTTGTTTATTACATGAAAGACAGAGTTGTAAATGTAATCTTGTAGTGTCTCACTGCTACAGATCAAACTCATCATTTTGTGAGCAGTAAAGCATCTTGAAATCGTTAGAAACGTTTGATTACTGGAGATCTAAGGTCAGGCGTTTACGAGGAATGAAAAACATTGTCACATGCTGTTGTTTTGTATTCTGCAGTCTGTAGG